AAATTTATGACAATAAATAAGTATAAGTTAAAATAAATAAGTGATTCATTTGACTCATTAATTTCTTTAATTCTATTAAATTAGGGATAATTCCTTTTGTAATAAATATATAGTATCTAAAACTTATAATATAAACAATTCACACAACGCCATCTAGTCCTAAACTAAGCAGATGTTGCTCTATCGGTACTAAATAACTTGGCAAATAACGAAACTATTATGCTAATTACGAGTACAAAAATACTATTGTAAAAAACAGCCGCAATTAATAAAAAACAATTACATTCATGAATACAAGTCGTATCGTGGAAGAATAAAACCCGCAAAAATAAAGCGCTGTGCAAAATTGCTAGAAAAACAATAGTAGCCCTAAAAATATTGAGTTAAAAAGGGTTAACATATTTAATAAATATAAAAAATATTAACCCTTTTGTTGAAAATATAAAGAGTAATATTCATGTAAAAAAAGTATAATTAATGGAAAATAAAACGACGTTCGCTAAGTAGTACCACAGATACCATAATAGTCGTACCGAAGTCAAATTATTTTGAACATAGTTGTTGAAATAAAAATGGTATCAATTGAAAATCCCTTATACGTATATAATAATGATATGTCTATTGTATCAGGATACAGGCATTGAGTTCCGTAACATTCGCCCAACAGCTGACGCCATAAAAACTCACCCTCATCATTTCTATAGTGAACTGACCAATTTGGGGCCACTGTTACGCATAGCTAATAGACGGTTGTATCATATATACAAAGGAATTTCGTAGGCAATAAAAATTTGTAAGAAGATTTCAACGTAATATTTATCTATTGGTTTTTTATATAACTGGAATTGCACGACACGTCTCAGGTTCCCAGTGATGCATACATATACAAATATTTTAATTTCTCGTCTTGTACTATACTAAAACACGTCTGTATTATACATATAAACCTTCGTCTTGAATCACTCTATCTCTTGCTGAAAACTGCATTAAAATCCGTTGCGTAGTTTAATAGATATATGCGAACAGACAGCGGAAGCCTATTCATTTTATACTATGTAAAGAAAAGATATTATATGTTGTGATTACGTGCTAATGCTGTTTGGGTAGGTAGGTTTAGAATTTAGATTTTATTGATGCTATTCTTTACTTTAAATATGATTGAAAATTATCACCGAATGAAAACTTCATAAAGGTATAATTATGAATTTGGCAAACTGTAAACTCATAATATTGTCGAGCAAACAGAGTGAATTTTCTCCTAAACAAATAACAAAACATAACTTCCACAGGCAAAGGACAAAAACTCACAAATCTAACGCATCTTCACGAGCCAATGAAAAAGCTTAAATCAACAACGCATGTTGTACGGCCATCGTTTTTAAATCCACATAACTTTTTTTTTAAACATGTGCATGGTTCGCTTCTCACCAGTAGGCTGCACATGGCACCAAGGAATTTGACACGCAGATGCTCGTTCCGCCACAGGCACAATAAAATACCTAATTAATATGGCGGCATCGCGGCCATGCTTTCCAATGTGTTTTTTGCCCTTTATGTAGCAGTGTAAATAATTTCAACTTACTAGTTAATTAAAATAGATGTTATAGATTGTCTATTAATTTTATAATGATGAAGAATTAAAATTAACTTTTGCCCTAACATTATAAATATCAATCGATCTAAAACGTAGATAACATATTATTACCATGTTTGACATTGAACTTTTTTTTTAGTCGAAGGACCACATGTTGGAAATACATTGTAAAAACCGCAGTAAATATTACATTAAATGCCTTGTCGTGAAGATATCAGCAAGATAATTCACCAGGGAAGTAATCAGATGGAATTTTAGGTGGCACATTACAGAGACATGAGTTGCGTAAGTATTCCACATATCCGACAGGACGTATGTATTAAGGGTTAGGTATTACGCCTCTATCCGCGTATTTCAAGGTTTTCTCTTAGTATATATTACCTACACTGTATTTTTTTTTAATTATCGCCTCTCACGATATCTTGTGGATTAGATAAATGTAGTGATGACACATTTTTCTGAGCCGTCACTATACACATTGGGCCTACCTAAATTACATACTAACTACAATTATCTTTTTTGTAATGTCATCAGGTTACCCTTGTTAAAAAACTGTGTTTGTCTCCATTAGGGAGATGACACGCCTCTGTCTGTGGAAATGGGTGTACCTCGGAGGCGCGTCAACTGGCTAGCAATAGGGTGCGAGAATTAACAATTACGCTTTTTAAAATGTATTAGTACAGTAAAATACTTCGTTATTTACTATTATTCTATAGTGTTTTCATACTCGTTTATTATATAGTATATTAGCAGATTTTTTATTAATTTCATCATTGTTTATTTTTGATTTTATTAGCATTTGTGTTCATAGTTACTTAATAGTCAATAAAATAGAATAAAACATATATTTGTTAATTTTATGTTTATATTTTGAGCAAGCAAAAGGTTTTATTTTATATTAGGTATGTCTTAATATAAAAAAGTCTTAGACTTTGTTTATACTAAAATATTTATTGTACAGTTGATTCTTATACTTTTTAACTGACTGTACTCAATGGTTTAGTTAAAACATTTTTACAAGCCTTTCATAACATATACGATATATGTATATAAAAATAATTGAAATATAATTTCCAGTATAACATTGTACATTTATGTCATTTATGATGTACGTTGCTAACTAAAAAGGTTGAAATTCAAAGCAACATTGTAATATTGCAAACACGCATCTTCGCCGTAAGCTAATAACGGAGACAATGTATGCCGCAATCATTTGCAATCTGTGCACCATAACATTCCAATGCGGACGAAGGAATTCATATACAGCCTTATTTACCGCCAATAAATGACGTGCGACGACAAATGACTTTTTAAATTTAGGATCCGTCAAAATACGCCGACGCGCGCGCAATAAATTCAAAATGGCCGAACACACATTGATGGCTTTCTTTACGATGAAATTTTATTTTATTACGAGTTTTTTAATTTACAACACGATGAGGTCATGTGGCCGTTAACATTTTGTATTTAAGGGACAATAAGAACTTTTTTCTTCCGACTCTCGCGAATGAAGGAGTATTCGTCACAGTAATTTACTGTGTTCCATCATTGTCATTTATGTATATTACTAAAGTGTATTAGTGATGTGCTTAAATGTCACTTTAATAACATGCATGTTTATAATTTGTGAAATATCATGTTTTATTTAGATAAATTTCATTTTTTGTATAGATGTGTCATTGGAGTTGGCGGAAGAATTATTATGTAAACAAATTTATAGAAATTAACCAGACACACGTATATACAGAAATTGCTAGTCAATTAATGTTATTTCATTTCTAATATGCGCAGTGTATAAATGTACAAATAAATTAGATTTATTAAATTATCGTTTTCTTTAAAAAATTCACCTTGTACATATAAAATAATTATTACCTATTGCAAGCTGGTTTCATGGTGAAAAAAGTAATATTACTTAATATATACATTTCTAGAAAATAAACAATAAAATAATTATGGAATGTATTATAAAAAACATTATGAATATTATAAATTCTTTTGTTTTGATTTTGTAATTGCACAAAAATATAGCTTATAATGCATTCCTTTAAGTATTTCTTGTCAATCAAAAATATGATAACATATAATTTTGAGAAAACAAAACTGATTGTTGATTATACATATTACAGATATTTTAATCAGGTAATTAAATTTTAAATAATATAAATTAATGATGTTATATATTATAATAAACACATTATGCCCATAAATGAAGAATATGGGTACCTTCTATAGCTACCTTTTTCTACATTCTCATAAATACAACATAACAAATTACTTGTAAACGTTAATTAACTTATTTTATATTCGTAGAAAAAGGTATAAAAGAATATACTATATATAGAATTTGACTTGACTGAATCCTTGAATTTCATTATTGTGAGTGTAAAAGTTTTACCTGTTTGGACCTTGTTGTTTTTAAAAACCTATGCTGACGCTAAAAACAGACTTCAGCGTTTAGAAAGGCATCTCAAGAGGTGAAAGTCATATGCTTTCATGCTTTGCAAAAACTCGCATCTCGCGGCCTTGGCAAGGTGAGTGCAAGGGGGACATAACGGTTCATCTGCGCGGGCGCACCGGCTCCCGCCTACCATAACATTCGTCTTTCTCGCTCGCAATACTCGTTTGCGTGTCCACGGCCTGCGTGCAACATTATAATGTATACATCACCAATACGGACGCTTCGATCTATAATACTTCACAGTCCATTGACCGTTCCGCTGGTCACCATATACGACGGAAACCAGACACGTTTTTAATCCATTTCCTTTCAGTAATAAAGTTGAACTTAATGAATGGTTAATATGGTCACAATATCTTGTTCAAATTTTGAACACGTATAAGCTGGGAAAGAGGCCATAACTGTTCCGTCCCTTATTCGGATAAGACAATCAGTTAACTCTGTGGATCATTATTTGTAAACAAAGACGGTGTTTGCAGTCGAATAGTAAAAGGTTTCAAGCCAATTATCAAGAGATCCATGAAAGTTTGGTACGTTTTCGTAAGGGAATCAGCATGTTGCGTAAACAGGAACTTCAACTTGGCGTTATTACAATAGCATTTAATAAGAAATTTTGCTAATTAAATTTATAAAATAAAATGTGTTAATTATTACTCTCAAACAAGACATTAGATTTATACACAATATTTTAAGTTATTACTCAATATTTTAAATTTCTATATAGCGGTCCTATAGAATATATAATGACTGATCCTTTTATAAAACGTAATGGGTTACACCACACCACAGAAAATGTTAATAACAAATCAATAAAGTGTGAGTTTTCTAAAATAATCAACCATTTCATATTCAAAACACGGACACAAGTGCAGTTGTAGGTACTCACTGCAACTCCCTTTCTGTCTCATTACACAAAATTCCCTCGAAAGGCGCCCCCCTACTTACAATTTGGCTGATCTCCGTGATCGGAATCGGTGATATTGTTTTCTCCGAACCCTGAGGGATCGACGAAGCGCTCGGGGTCGGGGACACTCCAGGGAATATTGGCTGGACGTTCACCACGCTCTCCTTAGACGTGCGGTTGGGAGACAACCTCGCTGGGAAGCTGAGGGTCTTCGTCCACTGCGATAAGCTCCTCACCATCTCGACTGTCCATATGCACAAACACTCGTTCACTGAACCCGGTAAGTTGGAGCGACACGTACGCTCGCCGGCACGGACCGCGGTCAAATGTGAGAACGCAAGATTTCTGTGGCAATCACCGAGGGCGACGCAAGCCTAAGTTATGGTGGGGGACGGTGCAGGGAGTCGCGGTTAGGGTTGCCAACCATACTTTATAATAGCGTATCCTACTTTATTTTAGTAATCATACTTTAAACTTTTACAAACAAATAAAATACTTTATTGTCAACCTTTACTGTGATGCGAAAAACAAAATACTCGTTATGGGTACTTACCGATTTCTAATTACTGAACGAAATGTTTAAAACGATTTATAATTACTGAACGAAATAGATGTCAATTGTGAGTTGTGACATTTGTCATAGCTCTAATGTTAAAAACACACAAAAAAAAAGTTTTTAAAGCTATAAAAACATACAATTTGAAAAATACTTTTTTTTCCTAATACTATATCTTTTCCTCTCCAAACCAGTTTATACGTTTATTTTTTGTCAAAAAAAGTTGGCAACCCTAGTCGCGACGGTGCTGTGTGTGTAAATGTGCAGGGTTCAGTGAATTTTCTTTTGTTTATTTATTCGCTATTTGCAGTGACCTATGCGCAAATGATATCGCCTGATTCTGTTCTGTATTAGCATTTATTACTATTATATATATATACCACAGATAATATAATATTACATACTTATACTATTTATAAATAGCTATCATATATTATTTACATATATATATATATCTATAAATAAATGTTATTAAATAGTCTTTAAATAATTATATTGACTTATTTATTTATATACTTCATTGTTAAACCGGATAATGTGTTTTATTTTTAATAAGAAATATTTTTATTACGAAGTACTTAATAAGTATTTATATATTTATCAGGTTTTGAATACCTAATCAAGATAACAGGTAGGTGATAATACGTAAATAGGTAGATTACGTGTTCTGTAGTTATAGATTGCAATTGAATAGTGAATATAAAAGTAAACTCTAAACTAAATTAAGTCTATGTAATATTTTATACATAATATATATGTAATTATGAAAACAATACAGTAGTCCTACAGTTAAACTTCTATTTTAAACTTCGGCTGTATCGAATCGCATTGGGAGCCGAAGAATATATAAATCCAAATATTCATGTATAAAAAAAACTGAAAACAAATAAAAAAAAACAATCAGTTGTACTTAGTCCCGACAATTCTCAAGCGCCATTTAATCTCACATTAAGCAGAATTTATTCTATACGCATAAAAAATATGTTTAAGTATGTTTATCATACATAGTATATAACAAAGTCGCTGTCGCTGTCTGTCCGTCCCTATATATGCTTAAATCTTTAAAGCTACGCAACGGATTTTGAAGCAGATTTTTTTAATAGATAGAGTGATTCATGAGTAAGGTTTTTATATATATTACATGTACACCCGTGCGAAGCCGGAGCGAATAGCTAGTCAGTTATAATAAATAAATAAATATACAGAAAACACCAAAATTATAGTAATAATAAGTAAGTAATTACCTACTAACATATAATATATTATCAGGAATACAATTGTTTGTCATGAAATCAAGCTTGTATTATCGAACCCTCTATCACCAGACAGTAAAGCAAATTTATAAACCACTAAACCATCGCGGCACCGCGGTAAAATGTAATATTATTGAAATGGGATTGCTCCTCGTCTTAGGATGTAAATGCTTGGGATTATTTACGTCATATGAATACAGAAAACTGCACGTGACACGCCGAGGGTGCCACCCCAACCCCCAGCTCGGTCCTTGTCGGAATCCTTGCAAAATATAATAGATCAAGAAGGCGCATACCTTGGTACAAATTCAATGTAAGTTCAAATGAAAGAACACACATGCGACTCTTTAATATTGGTTTTTCAAAATTATATCCTCCATACATTTTGTTTTCGCACTACTCTAATGCTGTTGGCCGCAACTGGCCTTTACAACTTCATCGGACGTTAGGGGGCGAGTGCAGATAGCACTCCAAACCTGCGGAAGCACTTATGGAGGGGCTGAAGGCCAACTCCTACATACAGCGACATAGTTATAAGGGCAGATTAAGGCCGAAAAAGAAATGGATGGACTGTGACATCTTGCATACCGAAAAAGAAATGGTGAGACTCCATCTCTTTTTCGGCCACTTTCTTTATGGCAAGAAAGAGAGTGAACAACAAGATAACTGCGAACATGAATGGAGGGGAAAAACATATTACGCTAACCATAAATGAATGGGTTAAAAAAGAAGCAAACGATAACATACAGCTGCTATTATTTAGTACCGTTCTTATGATAAGTACTTATATAGATTATATAAATAGATAGAGATATCTACACCTACAAGTACTTTTGCGTTTTTTTTATACCACCTACGTGACTAAATAGCATACGGCCCATCTGATGGTAAACGGTTACCATAGCCTATGGACGCCTGAGGAACCAGGGGTGTCACATGCGCGTTGCCGATCCTTAAAAAACCTTAATATACCCTTCTTGAAAAACCTTATTTTAGCATTAGCACTTACATTTTTTAATTTACTTTATTGTATTTTCTTTCAAATTTAAATGTTTAAATAAAGGGTGCAAGAGGGAAAGGGGATTGTTGGATTGTAGGTAATATGAACTAAAGACCCATTGCTAGCAATGTACCATGTTGACCTCCACGCGGTCCCCCTGGAAACCATCATGATGAATTCCTGGTGAATTTGTTAGAATGAGCTAACTGACCTGACCTCATGTATCGTCCTACACTGATGCCCCACCAGCGTAAACCGTTAGTTCAGCCGGTTGTACCATTCCATCGTCATCCACTATAATATATATATATATCAGCGTAACCAGTTTTTTTCCCAAGTCGGGATTATGGAAATTTTTAAGTGCAAAAACTATATAATGTATTGCTCGAGTTATCCGCTAATCTGGCTGTCCCGCGCGGGACAATAAATTTCGATTTAAAAATCGGGACGTCCCACCAAAGTCGAGATATCTGGAGAAGCTGTAGTATATCTTGCCAACAAACTGTTCTGCAGTTATTGAATAATAATAAATGTACTTATTTTTATAAATAAAGCAAAAAAAAAGAATATATATTTATATATATACAGTGTGCACCAGGTCTAAATGGTCGGGGCCCACTGGGGCGCGAATCCGAAACAATGGTGCGCGCAGGATTCGCTGCATGTCCCAACTTCCGGGGGCCACGTGCGCGCGCAGCTGCCGCCCGCAGCGCACGCCTAAGTGCCACCCTGTAGGGCTTTGTTTTAAAAGAGATGGTGGAAAAAAATAGTTGAGTAAAAGTAGTTAAAATCTTACTTTAACTTGTGGGCACATATTTTAAATAAATAAATTCTAGACAAGTTCTCATATTAGGCCATTTTGACCCAAATCATAGGTAAGATAATATTACATAACTCAAAGAAAAGAAGGCTAAAAAATATACTAAAATACATTTTTTAGCAAATATATACTAAAAAGACATATAAAAACATGCAGTCTAATAATACATACATCACAAAGTTAATAAAATAAAAAAAATAGCTACTCTAAGGAATCCATACTAATATCAGAAATGCTAAAGTGTCTTTGTCTGTTTGTTACCTTTTTACAATCTGTCTCTACTATGAATTACATAGGTTTTTATATCTCAAAATAAAGCAGACAAAGTTGCAGGTAGTAGCTAGTTTACATATATAGGTATTTTACTGAAATTCTCAATTAAAAATACAGTGTATGTATGTGGTACTTTAGATGTTTTAACGAATACGCAACAAAAACGGGTTATTACTACCCGGTATTGTTCCAGAGCATCAACAACCCTTCCCTTTGTACCGACCGAGTTACCCATGCTTTTGTTCCCGGAGTTTGCTGGGGACAGTCCTTTGTGGCATGAATATTGCGTCACAGATGAGAGGTGTGCACATAATGGTTGCTAGATGAAGTTTCTAATGAGTTCTTTTTATGATTAATAATTGACTGAAATTGTAATTTTCAAAGGTAACGTGTTTTTTGTTTAATTTATTTTAATATTAATTTCAGAAGAAGATATTAATAGAATCGCTGTGAAGCCGATGAAATGGCCGCTCACGTAATCCTGGAGTGCTTGCAATGCGCACGAACCCTCGGAAAAGTGAGGTCGCTCCGTGTAGCCTGATGAGACCAGGAGGCTTCTGTGCTACTGGGAAGAACTTTAATAGGCGGCTGACTACTTTAATAGTCTCAGCTCTACACAACGGTCCATGTGAGAGACTAAGTGTAAATAATAGAGTCCAACTCACAATACATTACACCTTCTTTTTTTGCCTGACTTTAGTCCCATTCTGTCCTGTGTTGCCAGAGGTGTTAATTCGGCATTTCTTAAGTCTTTCTCAAATCACCATGGATATCTGACAGCCATGTGAGGAGGGATCTGCCGCGTCTTCTGAACTGGGCACTCATGTCAAGTACTGTTCTTGTCATTTAATCTGATAATTGACGCATGACGTGACCGTACCACCTAAGGCGGCTCTCCAAAACCTTCTCCAGTATAGGGTGTCACGTTAAAACATGCTGATAATATAGCAAACGATTACGTACATCTAAAAAAACTAAGAAATTAGTATAAAGTTAACGCACTCTCCCCAAATGATCCTTAGTGACGGTTACAATAATTTGGAAGCTGTAATACTTGTACGAAATTAGCCTTCGTTCGCCGTAGTCATTGTGTGAGGCGGACTATTTTGGGGCGCTCGTAAATTATTTTCCGACACCGTAAAATAACCGCGCCTTTTGTTTAGAGCTAATTACGTGATTTGGATATTGTGACGACATTATAATTTGAGACGAGATGACTCGGAGACTTATTAAATTTTCGTCTGAAAATTAAAATTGATTACCTAATTTCACCCTTAATAATTTTGACAAGCTCTAAATATTTTCATAATAACTTATACATATTTATTTCATCCATTCATACTAATATTTATAATATTGGAAACATTCTGGCTGTCTATTTCCTTTTTACGATTAAACGGCTGAACTAATTTTA